ACAAAACTTTATGATGGAAGCATGGCTATCACCAGTTATTGTAAAAAAAATATGCTGTGCAGTGGCCTACTTCAGTTTTTTTCAGCCAGATACTGCAAGAATTGTAAAAAAGTTATCAAAGACAAAAAGATTTATCTTGGGTTCTTTGTTCTTTGAAACCTCACTATATTAGAGGTAAAGATTATGTCATTTTTCTCCAAGTTGATCTATCGATTCAACTCAACATCAGTAAAAATCGCAAAAGGTTTTTTGTTTTGTTTTGCTTTTTGCGTCACACGTGGCGATGCACAGGGGTCATTCCTGGCTCTGACTCAAGAATTACCCCTTGCAGTGCTCGGGACCATAAGGGATGCTGAGAATTGAATCCGGATCGGCCGTGTGCAAGGCAAACACCCTACCTGCTGTGCTCCAGCCCCTTAAGATTATTTTTTAAGAGTTAAGTTGGAGGCTTCACTGATATTAAAGCCATTGTATTAAGATAGTGATAATGGTTTAAGATGCAGAGATATATCACTGCTTTAAATATATAGATCAACTTTTTACAGTTTTGCTGTCTTGTTTTTAAATAACAGTACGAACGCAGTTTATTGGGGAAATAATTCAAGAGTACATACTGAAATGATTAATGATATACAGAAAGAAAGTGAACTTGCTATCTAATGTGACAGATGCATAAACTAATTTGAGATGGATTAAAAGTTAAACATAAAAGGAAAACACTGTTCTTATAGAAGAAAATGTAGGAGATATTATTATTTGGGGTGGGATAGGCAGGGTTTTTTCTGGGGGGTGCACATACAAGCTCTTTCATGAGAAAAAATTGACTCCAGTCAAAATTAAGAAACTGTTCATCACTGAAACCATTAAGAAAATGAATGGGGGACTGGAGTGATAGCACAGTGTTAGGGCGTTTGCCTTGCACACAGATGACCCAGGTTCGATTCCCAGCATCCCATATGGTTCCCTGAGCACCACCAGGACTAATTCCTGAGTGCAAAGCCAGGAGCATTGCCGGGTGTGACCCAAAAAGCAAAGAGAGAGAGAGAGAGAGAGAGAGAGAGAGAGATTGAATGGGCAAAGCTTGAACTGGCTGTTTCTGTGTGTCTATACACATACGCATATATAAATATAATCTGTCAAAGCACTTGTTTCTGGAATAACTTTGAAATTATTCCTGGGGACCCAGGAAAAGGATTCGTGGAGTTGAAGCACATTCCTAGCTTTCACAGGCCCTGGGTTCGATCCCTGACACCACAGGCACCCGAGCACAGCTGGGGTAGCCCTAGGGAGGACCACCTAAAAAGGGTCACTCCTGTAAATTACTTAAAAGGAAAAGAATCCTTTGGAAAATGATGGCAAAAAAAAAAAATGTAAATACTTTCAAGAAGTTACGGAAATGTCCAGTAGTTGCTGAAAGTTTTTACCTAGTTTGGCATTGAGAAAATAAAAACTTCAAAGCCTGGCAAAGTGAATGTAGACTTACTAGTATGTGAGGCAGCTAGATTCACAAGCAGCCGGTTGGAAGTGTAAAATGGGAAAATACATTTTTTTAAATCTTATTTGGGGGTGGCCACACCTGGTGTGAGTGTGGGTACTTTTCCCAGCTCTGAGCTCGGTTGCTCCCAGCAGTGCCTGAGATCATACCCGGGTTCCCCACATGCGAAGCCTGTCTTCAGTCTGTACGCCTAGCTAGCCAGCCTAGCACAGGAACTTGGTGGAACCATTGGCCTTAGGAAGTTAAATATGCTTCTGCTTCATTACCCAACAGTTCCACACTTAAGCTTTCACAAGAGAAATGAAATTATCTTGTCTTGGTATGTTTATAGCTGCTTCTTTCTTTTTTTTTGGGGGGGGGGGGGGGCATACCAGTGATGCACAGGAGTTACTCCTGGCTCTGCACTCAGGAGTTACTCCTGGTTGTGTTCAAGGGACCATATCGGCATATTGGATGCTGGGAATCGAACCCAGGTCGGCCACGTGCAAGGCAAACACCCTACCCACTGTGCTATACTCCAGCCCCCATGAATTTTTTAAATGCCAAAAATTACTAAGAACCCAAATATTCAATAGGTTGATGAAGAAAAAAAACTATTCACACAACAGAAACATCTACGAAACAAAAAATAAGGGCCAGAAAGAGAGTACGGCAGGTGAGGCACTTGCCTTGCATGCAGCCCTGGCCCTGGTTTGAAACCCTAGTACCACTGGATATACATTCCCCCCACCACCCCCCCTTCCCCCAAGAAAAAAGAACACTCAGAACACTCAAAATATTAAGAGAGAACGAAAGAAATAAAGGTGCTTTCCCCTGGTTTCATCCCAGCACTGCTGGGACAGTCAGTAGTAATCCCGGAGCACCATCCATCATATGTGCCTAACACCACCACCCCCAGGAGCCAAAACGATGGTGTTTGAGGGGCGAAAGAACATTAGATGAAGCAAAAGAAGTCAGTCAAAAGAATGTATGATTGATAGAAATTCATAAGCAGGGGAAACAGTCTGGTGATGGAACTCAGAACAGGGGCTGCCTCTCCTGTGGGATGTGGGGGTTAACTGGAAAGGGGTAGTGTAAGTGCCAGGATTTCATCTGCTTCCTGACAGTTCTAAAGGTTATGAGCACTGGGGCTGGAGCAATAGCACAGCGGGTAGGGGTTTGCCCTGCACGCAGCTGACCCAGGTTCAATTCCCTGCATCCTATATGGTCCCCCAGGCACCGCCAGGAGTAATTCCTGAGTGCATGAGTCAAGAGTAACCCCTGTGCATCGCCAGGTGTGACCCAAAAACCAAAAACAAAAAAAAAAGGTTATGAGCACCCAGTGGAAAAAGAAATCAGCATTGTTTCATATTGCCACACTGGTTAGTATTGATGGTTAGTATTGGTCATTTAATAATTGAATCCTGGATTCTTTAAAGTCCCCATTATTGTTGATGATTAAGCGAATTGCCTAAAGTTACTGCCTACAGCATTGCTTAGTTACAAACTGTACACATTAAGTAGTAATAGACTAAAATGAAGGCAACCTAAATGTCCCTTCAATAGGAAATAAGTTAATTTAGTTACAGCATACCCATGCCATTGTTATCTATGTGTATAATAAGAGAAAGGATCTTTGTTGATAAGAATGTCATTTGCTGTTAATCACATATAATGTTATGCTGCATAAATATGTGTTGAAGTAAATCAAGATGTATTTCTCAATGCATTTCTCAATCGCAGGTTTTAAATGACAGATACAAAACTGTCTCTAAAGTTATACACAAGTATGATTACTAGGCACTGGGAATGCAGCTTAGGAACAGAGCCCTGCCTTGCAGACTGAGGCTCTAGGTTCTAGTCACAGCAAAATAAGCGCCAACCCTTTTCCTCTCCCCCGACCCATCCGAAGGTACTGCCTACTGTAAATTTTTGAACCTTTTGGATATACTGTCGCATGACTGCAATGTTACACGTTTAAAGGGGTTAAATACAAGTAATAAGATTAGAAATCATAGAACTCTGAACCATAATTACAGGGTATTCTGATCCAGGAGGTCTTGATTGCTGTGATAACACTGACTAATGTGATATCAATTTCCCACCTGCTTGACTAGATAGGTAATACAAAACTCATGTTTGCAGACACCATCTGGCCTATATCAGAATCGCCTGGAGATTGTTTTTGGTTTCCACCCCCCCCTTTTATTTTTGTTGTTGCTGTTTGTTTATTTAGGGGCCACATGCTCAGAGGTTACTCCTGACTTTGCACTCAGGAAATTATTCCTGGCTCTGCTTGGGGACTGTATGGGATGCTGGAGATTGAACCCCGGGTCCAGTGTGTGCAAGGCAAACGCCCTACTCCCTGTACTATCACTCCAGCTCCAGCTGCCATGTATTCCTGATTGTTCAGTAGATTAGAGCTGAGATACATATGGTTTGTATACTTAAGTGAACAACTTAATTATCCAACTGTAACCGACCAGCTAAGGCTTGATGCCATATGTATTGTTTTTTGATCTTTTAAACTTAAAATGACCAGAAAATAAAAATAAGTTTTGGTGGGTTTAGAGTGCCCGGTTAGAGTTAGTTTGCATTCATTCAGAAAGCATTGACTGATTACCTGTCGTACATGAGGTTTTAGCATATTTAGACACTTAGACATATTCTTTAAAGGCTGTGGGTGAATTTTTTTTTTTCCCCATTTATTGAGACTCCTGGCAGGTCACATACTGTACCTTTAAGTCGGTTTTCTTTTTCCCTACAGATTTCAGAGCTGATGTTCCCACCGCTTCCAATGTGGCACCCTGTGCCCAGAAAAAAGCCAGGGATGTACAGAGGGAATAACCACCAGCATCACTACCCTCCTCCCGTTCCATTTGGTTATCCCAATCAGGGAAGGAAGAATAAACCGTATCGCCCCATACCGGTGACATGGGTACCTCCTCCTGGAATACATTGTGAACGGAATCACTGGATTAATCCGCACATGTTAGCACCTCACTAGCTGCTTTAGATTCTGTCGGTGTCTTGTTCAAAAGAAGTAGTATAATCTTGACTACATATTAAAAGTTAAAAGTTCATATTCATAGTAGTAAAGTTAGATGGGCCGCCAAAACCATCAAACGTATTTTTATAGAGAAGTTATTGAAAATAATCTTTCTTAAAATATATATATGCACTTTAGATAAATTGATATAGTTTGAGAAACTTTATTAAAGTTAGTCAAGTGCCTGAGTTTTTAATATTGGACTTGAGTATTTATATCTTGTGCATCAACTCTGTTGGATACGAAAGTACTGTAGGAGTCGACAAGCTGTTCTGGCACCTTGAGCATTGACTTTATTGAGAGTATGTAAGTTATTTATACACAAGGAAATCTATTTTATGTCGTTGTTTAGAAGAATTGCGTCAAATCATGTAGTTGCAAATAAAAAGTAGTTTGAGGCATGACAAGGTGTGTTTCTGTTCTGTGTAAAAAAAAAAGGGGGGATATTTCTCTTCAACGTGTTTATAAAAATTTCACAAAGAAAAAAACGTAAGAATTTGTTTTTATTTTAAAAATTAACCTTCTTAATCATACCCTCCCCAAAGGCAGTGGTATCAAAATACACATATAAAAATAAAGTGTGTTAGTAATAACTAATTTAAAATAAAAATACAATTATCTTTTCCCATCAGTATCACGCTAGAATTTTTCTAAACAAGAATTTAGCCTGTGCTAATTTTGATACGGCATCTGGCTTTAATGCCTAATGCCATTGCAGAAGGCAGGCATGTTCTTCTTATAGCAACTCTGTAATCTTTTTGCCTTGTGCTTTTTCCCCAGTAAATTAAATAGAGGTCTCAAATGAAGCCAACTTGTACAGTACTTGAGATTCTTCAGCAGTCCTTCATACTTATACCACGGTAATGCCATCAGTCTTGAAAGGGTACTTGAACTACAACGAAAAAAAAAGATAAAAGAACTTTGGATTTTTCCCAAAGATGAATTTTTTTTTTAATTATATCAATGCCTTTCCCCATAGCCTGTATCTTTAAATTTTTGATCCTGAGTTAATTATCAGAGAAATCACAACTTACTAATAAACCATTACATGGACTTATTCTATCAAAAAAAAAGTGTAGATTTGTTTTGTAAGTTTAGTTGAAGTATAGAATACCAGAAAGGTACACAGATCATGGGGTATATATCAAAGGTTTGAAAGGATGTGGAACTATCTGCAAATCAACTCAATACTTAATTTTACAGATTTTTCTAGTTTTAATGTTAAGATTTTACTCTTTAAGCCATATACCACTTTTAAGAATGTTTCTGAATTGTAATACACACACTCACAAACACACCTCCCCAGAGTATTTAGTGAATGTCTATTAAGACTTGATCATAACTTCCTTGGAGTAACATGACAAGGGAAATTCATCTTATCTACATTCGTAAACAACTTTTAACTGTAACTGTTCCCTTTAGGGGTTCTAGAGAGTTTTGTGTAATGATGACAAGTTTTTTTGGCAACTTAAGACAGTTTCAAGTTTTGTGTTTTAAGGAGTTGGCAGATAACATTTGATCTATTAGATTGCTCATTTGGGGGAATTTGCTGGGAAATTCAGACGTGCAATTCTTAATAATAAGGGAAGTATTTTTGGAATTTGCTCAATGACCAAAGCCTTCCGTGTTAGATTTAGTACAGCGTCTCCTAAGTCTCAGTGCTAACCTCTACAGAGCAGCCCCACGGGGGAAATGCCAATTCTGAATTTTTCTATAGACAGCACATTCAATGTACTGTCTATAGAGGATTCTGTCTTATGACTAACCATCACCCACCTTACTCGAAAATTCAAAGCCACAGAAAGCTCCAGCCTTTCTAGTTTTTCCATCCACGCAGACTTACCAACCCATTACATAAGAAATGGTTTTTAATATTTGGGTTTTAAATTCATTCTAATAAGCTATCTGGAGCTTCCAGGGTTCACTGAATGACAAGACTACAGGAGGTCTGTGGGCTGTCTCCGGGACCCGCTCTCTGAGACAGTGGCTGCATGATTTCATCTTGAGAGCCATTGCAGCTTTTTGCAGCAGGAATAGTTTATGTCTGAATACTTATACTTTAAGGCATTTGGCCATTGTCTTTGTAGACATACTGCATAGCTCCAGATTTCAGAGTTTAAATGTGGACATTAAAGCATTTTTAAATGCAAAATTGTTTCTGTAAGTTCTATGGTATCAATTTTAAAAGGGTCTGTGTCTGGACTTCAAGTGTAATATTTACCTCAAAAGTCTAACTTTTCAGCAACCATCTGTGGTTTCAAACTAAAACATCAAAGCATTTATGTTGACTTCCTCTTAGTGTTCTCAGTGATTTCACATCAGTAATCTTATTGATGATGGGAAGAGGAAAAATGAGAACACCTGCCGTCTGCATTTTACCTTGCTTTAAAAAGAGCCACCGTATCCCAGTTTACAAATAATAGTCAAGTTGTTTGTTTTTTTTAAATTGCGGTGTGCCAACAACTTCCATCATTATGAAAACTCTGAGGTGCCATTATTACTCAGTTTAGATAAATTTCAGAGAAGTTGAAAATTCCCACGATCACAGAAAATTAACAAAGCCCCAATTTCAGAACCAAGCCAGGGCTGGAGCCAGCAGGGCGTTTGACTTGGACGTGGCTGATGGGACTCGAGTCCCAGGCACCCCATTTGGTACTCAGCTCCCCACCAGGAGTGAGCCCTGAGCACAACCAAGTATGGGACAAAAGATAAAAAGTAAGTAAAAAGCAAGCCAGACTTTATAAAGTTCATGCTCATACCCCAGATCTGTGTTGCCTATTAAATTCCACCAACTTCTAATAAGTTAAATTTCAGTTAAAGGTCAGGGTTTGAAAAAGGTAATATACAGGGGCCAGAATGATAGCAGGTCGCTTGCCTTGCACGTGGCAGACCGGGGTCCCATCCCTGGTGCCCCATACTGTCCCCTGAGCACCACTGGATATAGTACCAAAACAGAAGTAACAAAGATTAGATTTATATAGCATAAAAGAGTCAAGTATTGGAGAGAGTCCAGTAGACAGGACACTTGCTTATGGCCAACCCAGGCGCTATCCCCAGAACTCTGGTCCCTGACCTCGACCAGGAGTAACCCCTGAGTGCTGAGCTCAGAGTAAGGCCTGGCACCACTGGGTGTGGCTAAAATAAAACAAACAATGAAAACTGCTTTATTAGATTGACCTATAACTCAAACGACAAAGGACAATACAGTGTCTAGCCTCATCTAAGGATTGAAGTAACAAACTGTCAATGATTTCTGGCAAGATCCCAAAACAGATACTAGTAATGCTTGGGTTAATCACTGACTTTTGACTTTTTCTTAGTTACCAGATATTCTGTGATGAAAATGATGCATAATATTCAAATAGTCTGGAATTTGTATTCCAATTGTGTGACACTAACACTGAGTCTCAGGGAAACTCCTGCAGACGGTGGCTTTCCACCATCCATTCCTAATAGGCCACTGTCACACAGCCTTGGTTACAGGGCAGACACTTGTGGTTCCTGCTGAAATGTGTATCATTTATTCACTGGGAAAATCATCCTCTGGCCCCTGGTTTTATGGCACTGCTTAATGCAATGGTTAAGGTTTCTTTGTTTTTACATACAATGTTAAGGATAGCCCAAGCAATAAGATGGAAATAGTATATAATCTTTATCATAGCAAAATTACATCAGGACTTGTAAGTAGTACCACGACAGTTAGGGAGGTTAGATATTAATTCCTTAAAGCTTATGATCAGCACAAATAAAACTAATGATTTTACTGTGTCAGATCCTAATTCTAGATTAGGATACTTGGAAACTTGGCTAAAAAGACCTATGAGGTTAAACATTAACATTAAAAGATATTCTAGGTAGGGCCAGGGAGATATCTCAGAAAGTAAGTAAATACTTTGGATGTGGGAGGCCTCCTGGCTTTAATTCCTAACACCACATGTTTCCCTGAGCACTATGCTGGAAGTAATCACCAAGCATTGTCAGGCATGCCCCCCCCCCCAAAAAAAAAAATATATATATATAGTGTATATCACGGTCCTCCTGTTGCTCATCGATTTGCTCGAGTGGGCCCAGCAATGTCTCCAGTGTGAGACTTTGTTGTTACTGTGTCTGGCATATCAAATACGTCATGGGGAGCTTGCCAGGCTCTGCCGTGTGGGCGAGATACTCTCGGTAGCTTGCTGGGCTCTCCGAGAGGGGCGGAGGAATCGAACTCGGGTCGGCCATGTTGGCTGCGTGCAAGGCAAACGCCCTACCGCTGTGCTATCACTCCAGCCCCGTATAAATATATATAAATATTATATATATGCCATCATATGTATTGAGAAGGTGAGGGTTTGGGCTACATCCAGCAGTGCTCAGGGGACCATATGCAGTGCAAAGGGTCAAAACAGGGAGCTGTGTGCAAGCAGACTACTTTGTGGTGGGGCTGGGGGAACTGGGTGCAGGTTGCTTGGGGCCTAATCCTGACTTCCATACTCGGTGATCACTCAAGCAGCGCCTAGGGGGACCATATGCAGCTCTAGGGATTGAGTTCAGGTCAGCCGGGTGCCAGGCAAATGCCCTACCCGCTACACTCTGAAGGCAAGCACATTAAGCTCTGTATCATGTCTCTAACCCCTGAATATGTATGCATTAGATACATCTGTAGGGAATATAGGTTGGGAGCATTTCTATCCACGCTAGAGATTTCATGGGTAGATTTTGTATACAACTGTCATGTCGTGAGCAATAAATATAAAGTAGTTTGAGCACTGAGACATTCAAAGAAAGAGCTGGAAATCCATGCCTTTCCCTCTAACCACTCAGTGCGGCAATATGCGATCCATCCCCCAGGGAGCAAGCTACATGATTGCATCTTTCCTTACAGCTGAGTAGTACTGTGTATATGTGCCCTAGTTTCTTTGTCCGCTCATCTGTTCTTGGACACTTAGGGTACCGTTTCCAGTTTGGCTGTATTGTGAATAGTGCTATAATGAACATGGGGGTGCAAATATTTTTCCAAATAGTGTTTTGGGGCCCTGGGGAAGGATGCCAGGAAGTGGAATTTGGGAGTTCGTATGGAAGCTCAATTTCTAGTTTTTTTGAGAGATGTCCATACTGTTTTCCAAAAAGGCTGGAACGATCAAAATTCCCACCAGCAGGAGTGAAGACTCCTTGTTCCCTACATTCACACCAGCACTGGTATTTTTCTTTTTTTTTTTTTTTTTTTTTTTTTGGTATAAGCCAGTTTCTGGTGTGAGGTATCTCGTTGTTTTGAACTGTATTGATTATTGATCCCTAATGATTAGTGATGCTGAACATTTTCCCCCCAAATGCCTTTTGGCCATTTATGTCTTATTTGAAGTTTCTGTGCATCTATTCTCCCCATTTTTTGATGGGGTTCTTTTTTTTTTTTTTTTGTAAAGTGCGAGAGTACATCGCCTGCATGGCAAAGCCTGGCAAGCTCCCCGTGACATATTCAATATGACAAAAGCAGTAACAAGTCTCACAATTTGTTGTGAGACATTACTGATGCCCGCTCGAGCAAACTGATGAACAACGGGAGGACAGTGACAGTGACCATGCTTTATCTTAGACATCAGCCATTTATCAGATGAGAAGTGGAAAATATTTTCTCCCAGTCTATGGGTATGTTATGTTTTGTGGATTTGGGGTATATTTTTATTATGGTTTATGGTTGTCATTTCCTTTGAGATGCAGAAGATTTTTTTTTCCGCTTTTTGAGTCACACCTGGTGATGCTCAGGGGTTACTCTTGGCTTTGCACTCAGGAATTACTCCTGGCAGTGCTGAGGAGACCATATAGGATGCCTGGGATCAACCTGAATTGGCCACGTGCAAGGCAAATGCCCCACCCACTGTGCTATCGCTCTGGCCGAAGCAGAAGCTTCTT